GCACTAACTAGGCCAGAGCATTGTTACACTCTGTACAAACTGTAGAAGTCAAGGCACAAATATAAATTTTCTTCATAACAATGGCTTGCAGTGCAGTGCTTAACCTAAACTAAACACTAGTAGGCATTAACAAAGTGTGAGGACCTGGCATGACACATTACATTTCACTGTGCAAATACCACCATTAACAGCCCACCGATCAGGCCAATGCTTTTTTTTTATTCGTAAGAGATGAATGCTTTTAGACTTTTGTGAGCCATAACTTATAAAAATATTCGGAAACACTTTTAGTGGTTGCCATCAGACATTTTTTATTTTGTGTGCAGAAGTAATGAAAGCCAGTACTGAATTTAAGGCGCAACTGAATTTAATGAGAAAATGACAGCACTCATTCAACAATGTAATTGACCACCATCAGAAAAGACTGACCTTTGCAAGAATTCCAGTGTGGTCATAGCACTATTTGGGTACATCATGTTGAATTCATAATAAGTCAAGAACATTACACAGATTGCCTTGGTAAAATCGGTCGCTTCACAAAAAAGTTGTTCCTGCTCACAGGCGACATAACAATTGTCTGAAAAGATGGTTTCTGTAAAAAAAATTAAAGAATCCTATAGTGAAACTCACGTTACAGCATCAATTTCGAAATTAGGTATTGCTACAAAGTTTTACAAGATTTACATGGTATAATGCGAGAGCCCATTTTTTGATCACCTTATTTGATGGCTGTGAGCCAACTAACAAGTGTTCCGGCAGCGTCCTAGGAACAAGAAAATTTAATATAAAAGCACATTTACATCCGACTTGTACTAGTTACAGTAAACAAGTAACCAATCAAAATTGCAATTGCATTTTATAAATATATTGATTAGGAGAGGTTAAATTCAGCCCTAGAAAAGCAACTCAAGTATTATAGAAATGTAATCAACTCTTTTAGCATTATTTCGTAATTTTATTACTGTAACACAATAATGCAAGTTTACTTATTCTCCAACATTGTGGCCGGCATGCAAACTACTGGAGTTGGCATGTTAAAGAGAAGGTTAAAGGTTTGATGCATGCTGAAAGGCTTACCGAGACTTCAGCGGCAGATTGTACAAATGGTGCTCATGCGTTCATATAAAAACTGCGTGTTCAAGGAAAAAGACTTCTGTTGATAAATTGGACTCTGTATTGTCTCTTTTATAGGTCATCGTCGTAGCTGTTTGTACAATTGAACAATTTGGATCTGGTTAACATTTAACAGCATTAGTTTTTTAAAGTTGTTAATACTGATAATGGATGGCTTTCTTGCTAAGAAATCAGCTGCTATATTGAACACTCTCAATGCATGTGCCTGAGTGAAAGGTGGTATTAAATATAAAGCAACTCCTTGCACGCCAGTCGTGGTTGTCCAGTGCTTTGCTGCTGCTGGCCCTAAGATAAGGTATTGCAGGTAAGGTGTTAATTTTGGGCAAACAGTTACAAGAAGAATTGAAAAACACGAAGTGTTACAATTTTGAAAAAAAAATGATAGATTGTACTACAAAACTAAAATAATTTGTAATCGATTACAAGTAACCGATTACTTTAGGAGATTGCATATTATTTATCTAGACTATATAAAAACATGTTCCAGAGAGCAGCTTCTCCCTATAAGGTGCCTTACAAATGTCCTTGCACATCATAAGAATTGTTTCTGCCAGTGCTAATACAATAATAATTATTCAGGTTTAACGTCCCAAAACAAGAATGCAATTATGAGAGACCCCAACCTGTAGGTGACGGGAGGGGGGGGGGCTCTAAAGTGCACCAAAATCTAAGTACACAGGCCTCAAGCATTTCTTCTCTTTCCCCCCCCCCACCCAACGAAAACGAAGTCACCGCGGCTGGGATTCAATCTCCTGACATATAGACCAGCAGTCCGACCAACATAACCACTAGACCATCGTGTCGAGTGTTCCCATCCATGCAGGACAAACTGCTTCAGAGGTTGCATGTGGCACGAATGCAGTGTCCCACCCTATGCTGGATGCGCAGTATAAAAACCGTTCATTTTTACCCTGTTTTTTTACAAGTTATAGAGCTTGGTTTCGTACCGCAACTGCTGTTGAAAGCCTTTGTCCTCTTATTCTTTACCCCTTACCCACCCCTCATATGAAGCCCTGGACATAGTGATGAAAAAGTTTTAACTGTATCACCAACCCACATTTTTCATTGAGATATGATGCACCACTCGCTTACTTCCAAAAATATGTAGGAGCTTGCGATAACCCTGTATGACAAATGATTGCTTTCTGCGGTGTATAATGCAAACTTTTATTATTAATAACAGCACTTACAGTGTTTGCCAATATCTCTCCCTGACTGCAAAAGTAAGAAAAAATTCTGCATGCCCCACACACTTGCAAGACAATTGCTGTGTAAATATTAGGATGGGTGTCAACATTTACAAAGTAAACCATAAATATGATGACCTGATTAATCAATTTTTTGCTACTAACAAAAGAAGTACGGTAGAATACCTTCTCAGCACAGTGTGAATGCCTTCCGATAGTGCACCTTTTATAATATTGAAATTTATTCATACATGCATACATACACCATACCTTCATACATACATAAAGATATGCACAGAATGGATAAGCCTCAAATTTTCCGTGGCATGAAAACATGCATGGCTAGACCATGTTATACATTTAGCTTTTTATGCATTGCAACACCTGGTTGGAACACAAAATCGTGGCTTTATTTCGAAAGTAAGAAGACACCCTTTCAATTATGTACATTGATTAACAGTACTGTAATCAATACCGTTTAGACTGCCGGAGTTTCTCAGATTCTTGATTCCATGCCAGACAGGCAAATCTTGATACGAGTATACGAGTATATATGCACAACGATGAATGAGTGTCAATCCACTACAACATGAAACCAGGGGCTGCAGCAGTATGGTGCCTACCTCTCCCCATTTTCGCCTGCCCTTTATCGCACCCATTCTCCTAAGAGCAAACATTGTCATAACAAGCCCGGATTCATCCTCCCCCAAGAAGGAACTCTTATCATGGTTCATCTCGCCCTAATAAATCAATCCTGGCGCTGCCCACTGCATGGAACACCTTCCTTGACCAACTAGTTACAAAGTTGAAAACACACCTTACCTAGGGCTGAAATGATGGGTATGGGTGGCAGCTCAGAAAGCACCTTACTTATACTTATGCCATGATAAAAAGGAAAAGAATGACTCAGTTTGAAGTGGCATATGCTATATGGGACGTCCATTTACTAAGAGGTTTTTTCCCTCCCCTTAAAACTTTGTCACAATGCATAATGTATATCTTATATGCATTTGTATAGCATCTTATCTGGTCAAGGTGAAGAAATTAAGCACTTTCAACTAAAAAAGCCACATGCAGATATTCATCAAGTGAAACGAGATTTTATACGAAGGTATGCCAAGACTAACGGTGCCACACAATGAACCATAACTCTCACAATGTCAGTGCCTGGCCACATGAGCACCTGCAAAGCAGAATAAGGAGCTGGAGTGCCTGCCACCAGGGTACCTGTGGTTTTCATTGCTAATCATGCCTGACTTGTCTAAGAACACAGTCTTGTAGGCTCATGGTTGCAACAATAGCAGCTTACATAACCCAGCTTAAGACTGTTTGCTGGACAGGTACTCTTGTAGCAACAAAGACAAGAGATAGGAAGCAGCATGTCCAATTTTTAAATACACAGTGCATGCCAGCATTAAGTGTGTCAGTTACTTATTGTCACAAAACTTAATGTACCAAAAACACTGCACAGCTCAGCATTTACTTGCATGTCGTTAGCTTTCATAGCAGCACTTTTTTTTCCTGATTAGAATACCTTAATTACCATTGTATTACCGTATATTCCTGAGTATAGGACACCTTTTATAGAACATTTTTATTGGTGCATCTTATGTGCACAAAATGTCATGCAAATAGATGAATGAAAGAAATTTATCAAAAATCAAGTCCGGTATGTTGCTACGGCATCCTACTCTAAAGCAGGCCACTCCGAATGTTCCTATATTATTTGCAAGCATGATAAAAGTACTCATGACAGCATTCGACAGAAGATAGTTATTCTTGTTTCAACAATGAAGTAACCATTGTCTTGGATGATGACCACTTGAAGCAGCACATCACAAATGGGCTAGGGGAGTGGCGCGTGCAGCTTCTCTAGCCAGCACAGAGAATATGGCCACTGTAAAGGCCGCCACTATCAGGCGCACTATATTGAGTTCAAGTTGTTTCGTCCTGAAATATTAAACCCACAGAACCAATGCAATAAAGAAAAGTGGTATCCCACTGGGCGCTTAAGTTTTTCAGGGCATACTAAAGTTAGATTATGCATTGCAATAACACATTGCGTTGATTAGTCAACGAGTTACAAGGATGAAAGCACCACTTCACTATCTTCATCGTTATCAGTATTCATGATAAACTTCTCTGCAATCTAAAAGTAGTCGCAGTTTACTTCTCCAACGTGCAGTGTGACCGTTTGTTCACTGGTTCGTTCACATCTTACGACACCCGTGAATAAATTACTCGAAGGTCAACAACGAAAACCCAACGATGCTGCCTACTAAAGCAGCATAACTTTTGACAACGCACCAGAGGATGTGGCAAAGCATAATATTGATATTGCGATGACTTTTTTTTTCTTTTCAGCCACTTCATTTCGAATATCTGTGGCATTAAGAACTTGCCTCAACACACTTCCTCAAAGAAAGTTCCCGATAGTGCACAGAGAATCAGCGTATTTCACTCCAGCTCACTTTTCCCCTCTTAAAAATATTCTTACGCTGAACATACGTCCCATGACACTTAGAAAAAAAAGTTCAGCTATCGGGCAGGTTTACACAAAGGGAACGAAGGAGTTGCACTAAACAAGTATGCATTATTGCTGCTATTATTATTACCTGCTAATGAGCATTTCTTTTAGTACTATACAAATCATCGCGAAATTCTGTACACTGCACCTACCTCAAAAACCTTCAAGAGCCCCTGTTGTTTGTCCCCAAAGTACACAGCCAGCAATAGTAGAAATGCAACCTCCTTAGCATTCTTGTAGCCCATTGAAAGCTCCCGTTCTGTCTTAATCACCCATGCCTTGACATCCTTCTTGACCATACTTTTCTTGTGCTCAAACATCAATGGTGCGTAATCTTGCAACGAGGCCCAAAAAGCATCCTAGAATACAAGACAAAGACTCCGAAATAAATGCCTTCAAAATCATGTGCTGTGACACAGGCAATAACCGTCTCATATACTTTACACTAATGAACAAACTAGCATTTTTTTATATTCACTTTGCAAACTTCGATATGTTGCAGCCATCTTAGACTTAAATGCATTCAGAACCCTTTACAAGAGAGACTACTGTAACAGCCATATGAGTATACACGACACCGATGTGCCTATAATAAAATAAGTGTTAAGAAAGTAAACGCGCCAAAGAGACACCCTGTATAAAAGGCAAAAATTACTACCCAGCACATCTTTATTATATAGAGATTCATCTGTATAAGTATAGGATGATATGCAAGAATGACTTTGTACCTAAATTTCATGCATACATGTCTCGAAAAGCCTACTTTTCTAATTCAGCACCTTCCACTGCAGAGTGCACGACAAGGATGTTATTATTAAGCCTGTAACCGCCAAAACCGAAGAATAACTTTTGGAAAGCTAGTAAGAATAAGCAATAAGCAACAGTCTGCAATGGATGGAATAAAGTGATAAAACAAGAAGATCTCAGTGATGAAAACACTTGGTCAGTATTCAATGAGAGCAGATTACTAACTACCAGAATCCAAAGTTTTTCTAAAGAAAATACGTCCTGCCCCAGGCAAATACAGAAAATGTGATTATAATCTGAAAACTTTGAAGCCATTATCTAAATGTCTTCAATAGTTGTCGATTACGACATCAGATACTTCAAAGAGCGCAGGCAATCCCAATAATTTTATGTAAGCAGAAGCATCTTCTAAAGTAAACACAAGTTTAAAATTAGGCATACAGTCGAGCCCGTTTGTACTAAATCTGAGCCTGACGCGGCATGCGTTCGCGGTATCCTGAAGTTCGTAGTAAATGTAACAAAAAAGTTGCAAAAGAAACCACAATGATTTTGCGCAAATTAGTCCATGATGCACGAGTTTCGAAGCGTAAAAGCGATAAGGGCGGTCTTGATTTTATTTCACACGGCAGTGTACTCTTCGCCAAGGCCCGCAGCATAGGCTGCATGAGGCACTGGCTCCGAAGTTTTGTCGTTCTCGCAAACCGATTCCTCCGATACGCTCTTGCCGCGTAGTTAATCCACAATGCCCTTATCTGTGCACGGTTCCACGGTGTCGGCATCATCATTAGCTGTAATTAAACCATCGCAACAGATGTTCCACCCACTCTGCCAGGTCGGAGTCGACGACGCGCTGCCACAAATAGCCGCCAGAGTGGTCCTGTTCGGAAGCTTCAGGCTCGGCATCGGGCCCGACGTCGACGAAGCCGGCCTCGCGAACCAGTTTCGCGCACATGTAGCCGTCACCGCCGCCCACAAATATTCACCATCTCCACAGCTGAATACCGGGACGCCCGAAGCGGCAAGTTGGCTGCCAGGTGGTCAACAGCTATCAGCAAGCGCTCCGCAGCCGGGCACTTAACGCACAGATTTCGCCCAAGCCAAGTGGTCACACTTTGGACGTTTCGTTGAGCGGCAGGAAAAAGCGTGCAAGGCCTCCCGTCCGCCATCCTGACCACACACGCACATCGAGAGCGAACAAGACGCGCACAAGCAACACATGCGCCCGAACGCGTGGTACAGCTCTGGGCCCGTTTCTAGTCGGAAAATAAAACTTCGAGGCAGCGTGGCTGGCGTCGCGGAGCGGTGAAGACGGGCGAAAGAGTTGTGATAAAGAGCGGATACCTGATTTGCGAGAGAAGGGCAAGGAGCTGCGATAGAGTGGTGGTGGTAGTGTTAGAAGAGGAGATAAGGCACCTATTTTCTTCAACCCGGTCAAGAGCGCTGCGCAGTGGAGACCCACGCCGAGAGAGGCGCTGCGGAGCGTGGCGCTGTCAGTCAATGTGGGGATACAGTTCGGGCTGACACGGTGGATGGACGTGTTTTTTGAGCGCTCCGGATCAACTGCGCAGATAAGTGTTTTTGCATGTATTGAGCTTGTCTTTATAAGTATAAGAAAGTGGTTGAAATCTTTGTAGCACTTATTTTATGGTATGGCTTTTTCTGGGGCCAGTCACCAGGTCTTTTTCAGTTAGTGCGGGTGTGTGTGTTTCAATTTTTTGTTGTTTTTTTGCCACCCTGTGGGGGAGGTGCGCGTACATTGAACACGCAAATTTTTGTAGTAGAGCTTAGATTTTTTTTTCGTAGTGCAGGGCTCGAGTTTAGTAATTATCAAGTATAGGGACAATTGGTGTCAGAAAGACATGGTTAAAAAGACTGTAAAGTGTTCAAGATATGGAGTGGGTTTGAAAGTAGACCCAAGCGTAGAAGCGGATGGAGAAGAGGCCGACGCAAATTGTAGGCAATATGAGGTCGACGAAAAAATGGAGAAAATTATGATTGCCCAGAGTGAACTGCTGATGAGAATCGCCGAGCTCGAGAGTGCGTTGGCGACAGAGCAAGAGAAACCGAGGGCAATGGGAGAAAGACTGAAGTCCGCAGAGGATGCACTAGCGAAGCTGAACAAAGAATCGGCCTACGGAGAGAACAGTAGGAAACCGGCAACCAGAACGGTGGAGATGGAAGAGCAAGCAAGTTTGGAAAAAACAGGTTCAGCCGGTTCAATTGTCGCAAGGCCTAGCTTCAGCGAGGTAGTGGTGGGGCTGGGAGGGGACAAAGCAGCCGGCGTCACAGGTGCAAGTAGCCCCCAGGTGCAGGACGCTCCAACTGAAAAGTCACAGCATGTGATAATCGCCGGGGACTCGAATTTAAATTGATGTACAGAAACCATCAAAGAGAGGGTAAGAGTGACAAGAGGGTTGCAGTAGGGGCGTACCCAGGACGCAAGATTGAAGCAGTCATGAGGCAAGCGAGCGCAAAACTCAAAACTACAGCTGATAGACGATACCTCGTGATAATTTCAGGAGGTTCAAACGATGTCTTAAATGAAGATACAGCAGGACTAGCAATCACACTGGCGAAAGGCGTCGATGACGCGCGCTACTTCTCCTAATGTACAGTTATATGCACGATACTGAAGGTACCGGTGCGTGATAGCAACCTGCAAAGAGCGATTGTCAACGGAAACCAAGACATATGGAGGATGAGTCGAGAGAAAGGCTTTGAGGTGGTGGAAATAAACAGAGAGGTGCATAGGTGAGGTGGTTTTCAACGAGACAGAATTCACTTCGATCGGCGGCTAGGTCATGAGGTGGGTTGGCGACTTGCAGGACGCGCAGTAGCTTTTTGGGGGGGGGGCAAGCGAGCCCTTCGGGGTGCAGGATAGCTAGTAACCAGAAAAACAACCAGGGAGACTCTTCGACAGGTGGAGGGGACAGATACGATTCCAGAGTCGCACCAATATCTACGATATGTAGAGTCCGGGGCATAAATATACGTAGCCACGAGCATCGAGCCAATTCAGACATAGGGTATATTAACATGCATGGTGGTAGGAACAGGCTGAAGTGAAAAGAGATAGAAGAACAGCTAAGTGAAGAGAGGCAGATGGTATACGCTTTTGTAGAAACACATCTCAAGGACATGGAGCAACCTCCGAACAATCCAGTCTACGCGTTGGAATATTGTAATAGAACAGGAGGCAGCAGAAAGGGGGGTGGTATTGGGGCATTCATTCATAAAAGTACAGACTGGCAGAGGGTGAAGCAGGAGTGCAGGGAACATTTATGGCTAAAAGGGAAAGTGGCAGGTCAAATGAGACTCCTTGGTTTCGTGTACTTGTGCACGGGCCAGAGAGGAAAACCAGGCAATGGTAGAGTGTATATCAAAGAACATTCAGGAGTTAGGAAAAGAGTGCGAATTTAGTATACTAGGAGACATGAATGCGCACATAGAAGATATAGATGGTTATACCGACCCGACAGGCAAAATGACCATGGATATGTGTGAAAGGCTTGATTTGGTCATTTGCAACAGTACCGAGAAGTGTGAAGGGCAAATAACATGGGAGGTAGGAAGGCTGTAGTCGACAATAGATTATGCACTGATGTCACATAGGATGTATGATAAGCTCAGGGGAATGCACATAGATGAAGGTGGCTCCAGAAGTCTGGGTAGTTATCACAAACGTATCAAGCTAAGTTTTGGAAGAGCAGTGAAAGTGGGAAGGAAACAAGATGAGCAACTACAGGAAAATTTTTATCCTGAAAGGCAAATTGAAATAGCCACTAAACAAATTCAGAAAGTAATCACGGAGGATAATAAAACACTGTGGACATACACGAATATAATTAGACTTTTTGAGCTAGAACTTGCTAAGACGCGAGACAAGTCACCCCGGAAAAGAAGACTTAAACCCAAAAGTTGGTGGAATGAGGAAGTTAAGAGAGCCATAGCAAAACGTGAGGAAGCCTCTAGGGAACACAAACATGCTAAGCAGCGGAGTGAACCGAGAGATGATATTGAAAGAAAATTGGAAAACTTTATAAGCTGTAAAAGGGATGTATCCCTTCTGATAAATGAAAAGATTAAAAGATTGGGAGCTCAGTGGCTCGCAGAAGTACCTAAAAAAGATAGAAAGGCAGCTGCGAAATTTTGGAACCATCTAAACTCCCTAAGAAATGAGACCAGCCTAGAGCAGAGGTTTATAATTACAGCCCAAGGTGCTAGGCTAGAAGTGGACGAAGCTATTGAATATAAAAGAACAAGGGTGACAGAAAAATTTCAACAAAGAAGTACTTTATGCACCACGTTAGACAAGGACGAATCAAGTGGTGCAATGGCTCCATTTCCACAACTAGAGTGAGAAAGGGCTGAAAAAAGGGTTCCTAGTAGTATATCGACAGGCCCAGATGGCATTCCAATTATGCTGATAAAGACATTAGGTCCGATGTCTAAGCAGGCTTTGAGAGAGGCAGTGAGCAAAAGAATAATCGATGGTGAAGTTCTTAGCAGGATAAGCATGATCTATAAAGTAAAGAAGGACAAAGCTGACATA